AAAAAAAAAAAAAAATTCAAAAGGGAGAAATCTACCACCGCAACGTCCTTATTCCACGTAGTTATTCTCACCCTTTGAATTAAATCTAAGCGGATGAGAAGTGAAAAAAAATGGAAAATCCAAGGGCGGAAATACCTGGATCATCAGACCCATGTATATGGTCTGGAATCTCGCCCTTTGAATTAAATCTAAGCGGATGAGAAGTACTAAAAAATAGTCTAACTTCTGATTTACAAGTTTTTAAGTAATTTGAATGAAACATTTTGATAAACATATGGGGGTCGAGACTGTAATATTTTCTGTAATACTTTAAATCAGCTTATTTAATTTTCAAAATTTTCAAATTTTTTTCTCAAAGTCGGGACGAGCGTAGATATGCTGGGATTTTCGACTTGGTGAAAAAAAATTTTTGTCAAATTTTTTTAAATAGAGAGAGTTAGAGAAAATGGATGAATAAACTAAGAGGAGAAGAGAAGGTTCTAGACTGTAGATTTCTGGATATAGAGATACAGAGCAGGGGAAGGAAGGAAGGTGTAATGGGGTGGAAGGGGTCCCCATTACATTATAATTTTGGAGTAGGCCTACAACCCCTCTTTAAAAAAATTTTCGGGTTGCCCCCTCCTATAGGTAGAAAACGCTGCACCTATAGAATCCACGACATTTGTCATTGATTTCACAAATACCACGACAAAGTCATTTATTCCACAACATGTTTTTTCATGTGGAAACAACAGGATGGAATTGCTGGAATTGGAGATGTTCCCATTATTGCCACCGATTTGACTTTAAATTATGCATACTCCAAAAATGGTAATTCTCAAAACCCTCTTTTTGGAAAAAACATTTCAAAACTTTCGTGTGGCTATTCGACATGTCTTGCTTGCTCAGAGGATGGTTTTGTCTACATTCGACAAATTTCTTTGGTGTCAGGTGCCAGTCAATGGTCACCTGTCAGTTTGCCATCCTCTTTTCTCGATCCATATACTTTTCAACCGATCACAAATGTAAAATGTTCAGACGTGGAACTCGGTGGAAAATTAGGCGATGAAACACTCTTTGTCTTGACTATTAGTGGTTATGTCTTTTCATGGGGATCGTACAATAAGGACATTCGTGGTCATGGTGTGGATGGAACTTTTGTTTCCATTCCAACCTTAATTCCAACATTGAAAGGAATTTATCATTTATCATCGACACCTGATTTTGCGAATAGCCAAACTTGTGCTATTGTTGGATTTGCAAATTCAACAGGAGCTTATTTAATGGGATGGAATCTTTATTCGTTTGGAACAGGTGTTGATTATCAAACATATGATCATCCAGTGTATGTGCCATTGGATTATGTGACATCTGGTCAAATTCGATCGATGCATTTTGGAATGAAACATGTCTTGTTTTTAACTGAAAATGGACATGTCTATACGATGGGAGACAATGACGATCGACAAGTGTTGCCAAGTGGTGGAAATGGAAATATTCCAACACTGACCAATCTCACTTCAAGTTTTACAAATGTATCATCCAAAATTGTGGAATGTTCCGTGTCAAATGATGCATGTTTGTGTATCAGTGCGAATGGAGATGTTTTTACATGGGGAAATTTGTATCAAGCTGGAATTTCGAATAATAATGTTGTGAATTTTGGATGGATCGACACCCAAAAAAGCAAAATTATTGTCGCAATATGGATTTATTGCCACTACTAATGCGGTGTATTCATTTGGATTTAATTTAAAGGGACAACAGTGTGTTTCAGATTCAAAAGTAAGAGTCGAGTGTGTGTGAAAAGGAGGAATTACAATTTTAATCTCATCATATGTTATATGGTGATTAAAACACCCAAAATTGTGGCCACTCCATCAAATCCTGTTGCCAAATTGGTCACTGGTGACTCGTGTAGTTTTACCATAGAACATTCTATTGCCACCAGTGTAGAAAAACTTTATCTCTATGGAAATTGTACCAACACACTTGCATTATCGGGATCTTCTCCAAATTCAAATTTCATTTCATTTCCTTATTCGGCACTTTATCAAGACATGTATGTGGGAAGTGTCACTAATTTTTTGGATCTCTCCATTCATATGGGAGCTCATGTAATGGCTGTTAGTTCAGATGGCACTGCATTTTCATGGGGTAAAAACGATCATTACCAATTAGGAAATAATAATTTTTATAACAACATCAATTCGAATAATTTAACATTATATTCAAGTGCCTTGGGATTTTCAGTTTCACAAGTGGCTACTGGATTCGACCATTCTGTTATTTTACTTTCAGATGGCATGACTCTCTATGGAGTGGGTGGAAATGCAGAAGGACAATTAAGTGGCATGTTTTCCTTTCAAGGAAATAATTTTGATGTTCAAATTTTAAGACTATTGAATGTGAGCTCAGTTGTGAATTCATCAAGAAATGAATACATTACACAAGTGGTTGCTGGACATCGAACCACATTTGTTTTAACCAATTATGGAAGAGTTTTTGGAAGTGGAGACAATAAGAAGTGTCAAATTTCATCGAATTCAAGTGTGAGCAATTATTGGGATTTTGAACAATTGAAAGGAGGAGTGATGGACAGAAAACGAATTCGAAAAATTGTTCTTGGAACTCTTTTGATTTTATTGGCCGATGATTTTACCATCATGATGTTCAATCAAACGAGTTCTCTTATTTCATTACCAAATTCGGAATTAATTATGGATGCCTTTTCAAGTGAAAGTAATACTTACTTCTTGACTCAATCTGGAAATATTTATGGAATGGGATCCAATCTATATTTTGAACTTTCTATCAAGTACAACGTGTCACAAATTTTACAACCTGTGCTTGTATTCACAAAATCCGATTTGGGAGGAATGCCATATCTGGGATCATGTGGAAATCATTTTGCTTCTGTTGCAGTCGCATTGGAATGGTCCTGTAATGGAGTTTCAGCCTCTGCTTCCAATGTCTGTTCAGGAAATGGTTTATGTCTCTCTCAAGATCAATGTCTCTGTAAGCCAAATATTTTTGGTCAAAATTGTGAAATTGTGAAATGCAATGGTGTCTTGTCCAATACCACAAGTGTTTGTTCAGGAAATGGAATTTGTAATGTCAATGGCACATGTTCGTGTTATTCACGATATTCTGGAGTGAATTGTGAAATTTTCACATGTTTTGGAAAGATGAATAATGACACTCTAAATGTGTGTAATGGAAGAGGAAATTGTGTGGCACCTGACACTTGTCAATGTAATCCAGTATTGGGTTTTTATGGCAGTGAGTGTCAATACAAGTCATGCTTTGATGCCATTTCGAAAGAAGAATTATTGCCTTCTTCGAAACGAAGATCCTCCATGAAAACTCAATTTTGTACGAACATCAACAAATTGCTCCTGTCATAATGTGTTATACCACAATTAGAGACATGATTACAAGTGACATGACCACACCTTTTTAATAATAAGAATCTACACCTTAATAATAATAATAACAGATTCGAATGTATTATTCAATTACAATTCCCTCTTTTGCGATTTACAGAAAAAAAATACAACACTCCGTGCTCACAACAGAGTTCAAAAGTCATTGGAAGTTGAGGATCGTTTTGGTCATACAACAACAGCAATAATACTCTGATCATCGATCGGAACTTTTGTACATTTGAGTTTTGAATTGTATCTTTTGCAAATACAACAACGATATAGATTCATGGTGGAAATTACAGAGGAATTGCTTCGGAGAAGAAGCGAGCACAATGAAGGACAATTGTCCACTCTCAAAGAAATAACATTGCATCAATTTGATATTGAGGAAATTAATGAAGTGTTGGGAACATTTTGTCGAGAGTTGCAAATTTTGTATTTACAAAACAATTTGATTGGAACCATCAAGAATTTGCATCACTTGAAAGATCTGAGATATCTCAATATGGCTGTAAATAATTTAACGAGAATTGAGGGTTTGGAGTCGAATGAAAATTTGGAAAAGTTGGACTTGACTGCAAACTTTGTGTGGGATTTGCTGAGTGTGGAATGTTTGAAACAGAATTATAATTTAAAAGAGCTGCATCTGTTGGGAAACCCATGTACAAAATATGAGAATTACCGATTATATGTGATTGGTACGCTTCCTCAATTGCAAATTCTTGATGGAGACAAAGTTTCAAAAAGTGAGAAAATTCTTGCTGAACAATTATTACCAACGATTCGAGCCTCTGTGGCGGAAGAACAAAAACGTGTCAACGTGGAGGAGTTAAAGAAAGCTATCGAACAGAGAAATGAGGACAAGAAAGAAATTGCCAACTCCAAGAATGAACGAGAAAAGGCACAAGAAAAGAATATCGATGGAATTGGAGAAGTGGATCGATTGGGTTCCTCCTTAAATAACTATCCAAAACTCACGCCAGAACAAGAAATTGAAAAATATGGAAAAGTCATGCAAAAGAATGAAGGAAAATGGCAATTCAAATTCTTTGAAGAAAAAGGTCACTACGTGTTGGATATACCTGCAGGAAAATACATGTCTCTGAGTTATGTCGATATTGATGTACAACCCACCTACATTCGTGTGACCATTAAGGGTAAAGTATTGCAGTTGAGATTTGACAAGGAAGTTGCATCCTCCAAAGCATCTGCTCAACGATCGACTGTGACTGGAAACATTGTGATTCGTGTACCCATTTCGAATAACCCATAAATTTAAGTTATTGAAAATAAGTGATGTGCATTGAGATGAAAGGATTCACATGCTCATTTCTTGTGTGTTTTCAAATGGAAACAGAGAGAGCATCTTTCAATTTCTGAATCGGAACCGTAAAGAGAACATTTAAAAGAAAAAAAATGAGTAAATTCCGATTGATGAAATTTGGTACTCGCCTTCTTGATCTCGGTATGTGTGGCTTTTTTGGACCATTCAACCAGCTGATACATATATTATTGGATGATGACACATGTACAAATTTTGTTTTGATTTTTGGATGATTTTTTTTCTCTTCAATGTGATGATGGCATCTTTGAAATGCGTTTGGATCCGAAATTATTTCGGACACATACTCAGAGACTACATTATTGTGTGGACAAACATTCACGTGGAAACATTTCAAAACACCACATGCTTCGTCCTTTGTCGGAGTTCTTGGAAATCATGTTTTGGAATTGACGACCAAGCCATCAAGTTCTCATCTCATTCACAGCAATTCCAATGATCATTTTGAAGAATTGAAGAACATGATAACAAGTAAATCAACGTTGAGTGGTAGTAGTGACATTTCATGCAGTGCTGCTTCTTCGTCCGTTGAAACAGATCAATATGTCTATTATAGAAAATTATTCCCAATAGCCAAAAACAATCAATCCGAAAGCGAACTCTCCACAGAGTTCTCAGAACCAATCGACGAAACTACTCTCTATGCAGAAATTGAACAATTAATGGATGAATTTTTCCATTTCAATACTTATGATATTTGTCAATTACATGAAAATTTTGCAACCTCAGATCCAAAATTATTTGGAAAAATTGTCAAGTATTATCAAGGATGGCGATTATTGAAATTGGACCCAATTGAAACACTTTTTTCATTCATTTGTAGCTCAAATAATAATGTTTCAAGAATTACGAAAATGGTTCAATCTTTATGTGAAGATTATGGAACGTACTTGGGAGAATTTAGTATTGATGAAGGAAACACCACATTTCCAATGTATAAATTTCCAACATTGGAGCAATTAGAGAATAGTACAGAACAAGCTTTAAAGTAGGTTTTTCTTTTTGAAACGTTGCCTCTCCATGTTAAATTTACTACACTTAATTCCCATCCACATTTTTTGATGATATGAATGGTTAATGGTTACTATTCTTTTCAATTCACTATTGAATGACACTTAACCTTCAACGAATGACATATTCATGAAATCACTGTGTTGGAATTTTTAACATTTTTCAGAGACAAAAACTTTGGATATCGAGCGAAATACATTGTTCAAACCATTCAAAAGTTAAAGAAAAAACCAGAGAATTATTTACTCACACTACAAAATAAGGAATTATTTCCTACCACACAACACGTATTGGACGAATTGAAACAATTTTCTGGAGTGGGTATGAAAGTTGCTTCCTGTATTGCCTTATATTGTTGCAATCGATTTGATTGTGTTCCTACCGATGTTCACATTTTGAGAATTGCCAGAAATTGTTATCCTTCCATGAAAAAGTGTATTCAAGAAAAGAAGACACTCTCAGAGAAGGATGTAAAATTGGTCATGAAAGAGTTTGTAAATATCTTTGGAGAATATGCTGGTGTTGCTCAAATGATACTTTACGGAAGTCAATTGTCACAATTTAAGGAACGAATTCCACAGGAAGTGAGAGAAAGTATATTTTCTGAGGCAAAAAAGAAGAGATCGAAAAAAGAGATGGCACGTAGTGATGAAGATAGCTCTGATGAGCAAGACAACAAGGATCATGAGCACAACGATGCAGAAGCATTGTCATCAATATCGTCACAAGAGGAGGTTGATCAAGAACCAATTATTGCTCCCAAAAAGAGAAAAAGTAATTCAATCGAGAAAGCCACAGAGAAAATAGATGATGCATTAATTGCTTCCCAGTTTAGTTTGAATGGTTGTTATGCTGCGTCGACAAGTTCGTACATTCCTTAAAGCTGAAGAACTTTGAAACGAGAAAAGTAAAAAAAATTCTTCAAAGAAATTCTTCTTTTTTGATGCTACACGTTCATAAAGAGTCTCCTTCTCGAAACGAGTAACACAATCATCATTTTCAATCACTGACTCAGCAAATACGAGTAGTAATAGTCGACTAGTGAATAATATATCATGACATCTACACTGCCAGAAGTGGTACAAGAATTTAGCAGTGCTTTGCAGACGGATTTGCAAACCAATGATCGGATGCAAATTGATATGCTCACAGAAATTGCTAATGATAATATTGAATATTGTCGGGATATTGCTAAAGTATTGTGCACAAGAATTAATATTGTATGTAGTGTTATGAATCGTATGAACTGTTGTTGGATTGAAAGAATCATCATCATTATTTTCATACATTCAAAAATACATATTGATGATGTACAATAATCTTCAATGTGATGAATATTAATCTGACAAATATTCATCCTTTAAATATTTAACGTTTATTCTTATTATTGTTGTTGTACGATGATGATGAAAACCAATTCATATTTGGATATGACAATTCCGCTCGGGAAAATAATTGTTTTCAATGTTGCAACACAACAACAATCTTTGAACAATCAATGATGATCATCTTAAAACAATCAAAAAGGCTCCTGCCCCTCAGAAAATCATCTCCCTCTATCTTTTAGATTCCATAGCTAAACGAATTGGAAAACAATACGTTGAAGAGTTTAAAAAACAAATTTCCGATGTCTTCTTTCGAGCATACAAAGAGAATAAAGACGATCCCAAGATGAGAGCAAGTTATTTGAAGCTATTGGGAACTTGGAATGAAGTATTCGGAGAGGAAAAAGTAAGAGAAATTCAAAATAGAATTAGAGGTTTGGAAACAAAAACACCATCAGGTGGAACCGTGGCAGGAAAAACAACCGCTGCTTCCAGTTCTGCATTATCTGCATCAGAACAAGAACTTTTAGTGAAATTAGCAGATGCACTCAAAAGAAATCCAGAATTAATCAATGATCCAAAAACTGCTGCATTGTTCTCTCAGTTGACTGCCAAGTTGAGTGGCACAGCGTCCATTCCTTCCGCACAACCATCCCTAATCCCCTCGCAACAACAGCAACAACAACCCTCATGGACGCCCATGAATCCCTATTCCACCTCGTCTTCTTCTTCAAATGTTGCCTTAAATCCCTATGCCACCTCATCCATTGGAGCAATGCTTGGACAAACTGTACAAATGTATCATCCTGGACATTCAATGTTAGCACCACAATCGCTTGTTGGTTCTTCTTCTGCTGCTGCCTCTCAGATGAATAAACCTACATCGACAACAAGTAAGGGTGTGCATCGTCTCTATGATGCGCTTCCACATCAGTGTATGAATTGTGGTGTCCGTTTGCCCACACAAAAACAATTGAGTGAACATTTGGATCTTCATGGCAAGACAACTCAATTCTTTAGAACGAATAAGGACCTTTCACGAAAGTGGTACTTGACCGAAGATGAATGGATGACTGCACCCAACCTCCCCACAAGTGCTCTTCACTGTCCAGGTGTCATTATATTTGCAGACTCTTTTTCTGGTTTCTTACATCATCGAGGTAAGGGTTCTGCATCATCGACGGCCTCCTCTTCCTCTTCCTCCTCTCTTTCCACAAAACCAATTTCAGCACTTGATTTCTTTCAAACAGGAACAAAAACGACCACCACCACTTCCAGTAGTACAACCTCAATGAATAATAATACTACAAAACACGAAGATGTTATTGCAAATACTGAACAAGACACTTGTCCAATTTGTCACGAGGAGCTTGACAAGTATTACAATACAGAGACCAACGAATGGATGATTCGAGGAGCTGTTTTTGATGAGTCCTCTCAACTCTATGTCCATAATTTTTGTGCTCCCTCTGCCGTTTCGTCTAATTTATTGAAAAGAAAGTCCATGATGGATGGTAGTGATGTTGCCTCGAGTGATGATGGTGGCAACGATGGCGATACCTCCTCATTTGAACCATCCACTAAGAAAGTTAAGCAAGAGCAGTAAATCTATTGAATTTGTTAAAGATTTATAAACTTGCTGATTCTTGTGTTGACACAAGCTTAATTGACAAACAACCACGACGTAACAGAATGTGGTCATAGGAACCTGAAAGATTGATGTCTCCCAATTTGTTAAATCTGTTCTTAAAGGAAAGATGTTGAAGCTCAATGGTTGGTTGATAGATTAAGTTTAACAGGGTTTCAGAGAGTTTATCAAGTTAAATGTTCTTTTCGTCTTCATTCATTTTTCTTTCTTGAGTTTTTTAAATTCTAAATAATTCCAAAACTCCAAAATAGATGTTGCATTGTTAAAGGAGATGGGGAAGGTTTTTCATCCGTCTTAGTGAAGTTTTATTGGAAATTTCAATTTCTGATCAAGTCAATCAAAAATCCATCAAAATATACGAAAAAACTTCCCCATTTAATCCTGAGTGATTGTCTATATTTTTAAGTTGCGGTTGAGTAATCTTTGACAGATTTTTCTTGTTTAAGGTGATGTTGATTTTGGTATTTGTTAACATTTATGTTTTTGTAAACAATTAAAAAAATGAGCGAAAAGTCTGTTTCTCAACTCATCGAAGAACAAAGGTAGAGTGTAATTAATATTTGCAGTTGTAATGAATCTCGATTGGCCAATCCGAAATAATTAAAAATATATCAAATCGGATACAATTATTACACATCACCATCCAAATTAATAGTCAAATTCAAGAACTTATTCAAACGATTTTAATTGACCAAGAACAAATCAATCAACTCCGTCTCAAACACAAACAAGCTTCACAAGCAGAGCAGAGCATTGAAAAGATGAAGGATGATGAGAAAATTTGGTCCTGTGGTGCAGGTGGTTTCTTTCTTCTAACAAGCGTGAAGGAAATGAGAGAAACATTATCGGAAGAAAAGAATATGTGCAAACAAGAACAAACAGAGCTTTCTAAACATGTCGAGGAGAGTCAAAAACTATTACATTCTCTTGATCCTCATGATGTCTATAAATTACAACAGCAATATTTACAATAGCCCATGATCTAGTAGTATAATCTTCATTTGGATTGGACATTATTATTCACAGAAATATTTCTATTCCTTGTATATATAGCCCATGATGAAGTGCTCCTCTACAGAAAATTGACAATAGTTGTCATGACATGAAATCAATGGAATGTATTTCAATATTCTTTTTGGATGAATTCCACATATGTGTTTTTGGCAACTCAATCCTCGACTAATAATTTAAATAACTCTTTGGTATGCTCTTGGATGACGTCATCATCTTCACCTGTAATATGTGATACTATTATTATTAATATTGCAGCACGACGTTGCCATAATTTTCGAAATAATTCAGAAAAGCAAAAATGTATGTAATTGTGGATGGATCATTATCACTCACTCAATCACAGAAATAATCTTCCTTTCCCAATACTTACACCAACAATTTAAAGCAGCTAATTTCTTTCCACATTTCACTTCAGAAGCACACGCAATGATGGCACAACTCAATAATTTAGGATCTTTTTGCTTCATCAAATAGGATGCACTCAAATACAACACATCACACACTTGTTCTGCTGTTTTCATGAAAATTTTACTCTCCAAATTTAGTCGTTCAGATGCCAAGTTCCAAAAACAAGCCGAGTACAATTCCACAAATTCGAATACTGACACAAAATTGATTTCAAAATTGAGTGTCTCTAATATGTGAATCTCTAAATCATTGACATCTTTTTCGGTAAGATTGGCTGCTGATTTTTGACGATGGCGAACAATATCGAGTATGGATTTGGGTGCAATGGTGAAGGCCTCTACTCGTTTGACCTGTATCCGAATGCATACGAGAGTGAGCAATACTAAATTATCAGTTTCCTTACTGTCGTATTGTCATGTTTATATATTGGTCCAGGAGAAGCATTCCAAACCGCAGCATGAAAAGTTTTTATATTCCACCAACCCAACACTAACACTTACCTCATCTTCATATACTTGTAGATCATCATGAGCGTATTATACTTGACGGTAGGCCTTAAATCGGCTTTGATATTAATTTTCATGACCGTCTCCACGAGTGCTGGCTTCCGATTCAAAAACAAGCAAAAATCGTCCCACCATTCCATCTGAAGCTCCCATTGCCTGATCATTTCCTTCTCCATACTCAACATGGGCACATGATAAAAGCATGCAATTTCCATAACGATGATGATGATGTAATGATGGTTTTATAAGAATGATGATGTAATGATGATGGTCCGGACCAAAAACACACAAGGTGAAGAATTTTTTACTAAGTATTTATCAATTGTAAGAATTGAAAGTTAATTCTAAGGTTTCAATTCTACCTTAATGATTGGTTGAGAGAGAATGATGAATGTTCAACTGACAAGAACTCAAGACATCATTGAATTTCCTCCTCCTCCTCTTTCTCTCTTGATTCATCCTTAAAGATGAATAGACCGACAGAAGAAGAGACGAATTGGATGACATCAACGAAAAAATTCTCAAATTCCAAACCATAAATTGAATAAGGTGTTGAAAAAAAGCTTAAAGCGCCATAATCCCTTCGACGAGAATTACTTGAAGGAATTTCGCAACAACAACAACCTTCCATCACTCCAACATCTGATGACACCACTAATCGTGTACTAGCATTCTGAATCAAACTTTGTCGAGTAAAATTAGTGTGCTCCATTGACTGATCTTCAACAACAACATCAACTAGATCAAAATTTCTGTTGTTGATCTTTTGTGAAAACCTTTTGATGATAATTATCATCATGGGCTGATCATTATGACGTCATTCAGAAAAAACTTTTGAAAAATTTAAAAATAAATTTAAAAAAATTTTTAAAAAAAAATGAATTTATGGATGATGGTGGCCATTCTGCTGGCCGTGTGTGTGATTGGATTGTTGTTGGCCCGATTTCTCTTCAAGACAGTGGGCCTCCGAAGAGGAAATGCCTTGATGGTGATCGGATTGAGTGATTCCGGAAAAACATGTTTGTTTTATAAATTGAAAGATGGAAAGGTGGTGAATACGCACACAAGTGTGAAGGAGAATTATGGAAAGTTTGTTCCCAAGTTGATTCAAGGAATTCCGGAGAAGGAGATTGAAGTGGTGGATATTCCTGGACATTCAAGAGTGAGACAACAATTAATTAATCAATATTTACCAATTACTAAAAAGATTGCCTATGTGTTGGATGCTTCTGATTTTAATGCTTCAACCAATGCAGAGTAAGTATGAGGAAAATATTTTTTTCTAATTATTTCATGTTGGTAATATTGTATCTCATGTTATTCAATTTTTTGTGAACGACATGACATTCGATCCCATCTGCTGCTGAACTAATCTTGTGATTCATTATCTGAAATTATTCTGAATTGTATCATTATTTTTAATGAAATCATCAAATGTAGATTCCTGTACGATATTTTAACAAATAGAAAATTGATCGATCAATACAAGCCTGCAAGCTTTACCATTATTTGCAATAAGGCAGATATTGCCTTCTATGTCAAAAATCACATGAAGAGAGAATTGGAAAGAGAATTAACAACCATTCACAACACCAAGAAGCATCAACATCAATCCATTGATGAAGATGTCAATATTGCTCCATATCCACTCATGGAATCTAAGGAATTTTCATTTGAAAATTGGAGTGCATTTAGAAATATTCCAATTAATTTTGAATTTTGTTCTGTCACTAAGGAAAAGGATGAAACCTTCATTAAGATGATGGAAAATGTTGTGAGTGATTTGTAATTTGGTCAAGTCGTACATTTTTTAGAGCAACCATTCATTCATCATGAAGATATGGTTTAATTTTTGGAGTCCCAGTTCCAAATGAGCAATCCCAATTTTTTCAATTCCATCATTTCCCACCTCAACCTCTACAGATACTTTGACGCTCAGTTCAATATTCTTTCATTAATAATTTAATAATATATTAAAAATTGTTACAATAATGTACAACACTATTTACAGACGCTCTTTTGATATTTCAAAAATATTGATTGCCAATCATTCCTTTTATCTGTACTATAGGTGGAGGGTAATGAGGCATGCTTTGCATTGTGGATGCTGTATGGAGAGGAGACAGAAAAAAAGATGGAAAAATTGTTGGAAGGCGAGGTGACCACGTGGTCATCGTTCCTTGAGCCCACACTCGACGTTGAGGTGGAAGAAGACAACATGGCTGTATGATGAGAATTGTTATCCGAGTAGCCACCGTTATTAGTAGCAGGTGAAAAAAAGTGAATAGGCTGAATTTCTATAACAAATTTTTCAATATCTTCAGCTGATATCTTGTTTGCATCAATGTTTTTGTCAAAATATATCATTCTCTCAACTTCTTGTATCAGTGTCGAATATTCTTGATTGGCAGTAATATTTTCACATTGTGAGCATTGATGATACAAATAATAAATGGCCTTACTTAGCTGGCCAAGCTTAAAGTGACACTTTGCCAGTTGAAAACAAATTTGATAGTACAAATAAAGGTAATAATTATCACTCTCCTCTATATGAACAGGAGTGACTTGCTGCGATGGCTCTACTTTGACAAGTGACCGCTCCTCATGTCCACCCACAAGAGCAGTACTCTCGTTGTGACCTTTTCCTAGTATTGTTTTGGTATCTGAGTTTGATCGTGATTTGTGTTTCTTATTTTTTTGCTTGGAATTTGAGACTTGATGCTTTTCCTGCGTTGATGATAACGTTGTTGTTGTCACGGATGATACTGCTAAATTATCATGTCGTTGATGTTGTTCTTGTGATTGTTTTGCTTGGTGATGCAATGATTGTTGTGTCGACGGCACAGATTGTTTCTCTTGTTGAGAGGCCAACTCCGACTCTACTAGATTTTTACATTCAAGAAAGCTTTCCAGAGCATGAAAATATTTTCCTTGATTATACCTCGAAACACTCATTGCATATAATTCCTTGACCTTGTGGTAGGAATTTACGACCATTTGATGATGATGTTCCGATGATGATAAAGATGATGATAATGAGGATGGTTTTCCGTTACTAGTCATTGTCGTTGGAGGTGCCAGATTACCATTCAGAGTTTGCTCTCTCTCACTACTACTATTGCAACCGTTATTCGGAGGATGATGATTCCTTGATGATGATGCCGTTGTGGTCATGATGAGCATGTTGTTGTGATTACTAACAAACACACACACAAGGGTATGTATTCAATTTCTGAAAGCGTACAATAATGTTGGTGATGGAGTAGGTTACTTTCGGGATGAAACCGATCCTGAAGAATTTCTTAGGTTCTATAACCAACAAGGAGTCTAAAATTAGAGTCGTGATGATCACCAAGCTTGATCTTGCCAATATTATATAGAATGAGAAAATGAAACCTTTTTTAATGTACAATGATTCGGATATGCAATAACAATTAATTGAAGGAAGATGAATGGGTAGATGAAAGATTTCAAGTCTAGCCGATCGGTTAGATGGGATGAAAAAGATTATTCCGAGTTAATATACTCTCTCCGAAATTGTTCCGGTCGAATATTTTTTTTTTAAGAGTTCACTTTTCGAGAGATTCTCAGAATTGATCAAAGAAGAAATTATGACGACGAGAAAGAGATCAAAATTTTGTCAGTCACAGGACACAAGAGTGTTTGATTGTTGTTGTTGTTGTTTTTGGATATAGGTATTGGGAACAGCAGCGATTCATCAAAACGTTTGATTATATTACATGATACATAAAATTTCATGAAAAGAGAGAACACTCTGCTCGGACCCATTATTCACACGTGGATAAGAATTCACACGAGTGGATTCCACAACAATGAGAATTCAGTTTCATGAAAATTTGAATAATTCCGGTTCATGCAAAGGTCATCCTTTCACAAAAGTGCATCTGATCTGTTGACATTCGCACACTCACACTGTCACTCAATGCAAATTCAAAGCAATGTCAATATCTTCAATTTTTCGTTCCTTCGGTAACACAAATCTCTTCTTTCTGAATCGTTTATATCCTAAACAATTCAACCAAATGATTGGGAATAATAACACTCCCAACACTAAATAAACCGTCCACATAATATTCATACTGGATAACATTCCAACACAACCTGAATCCACAACATTGACAAACGATTGTCCCACATGGCTACAATTATTATAGGTCATGAAAGTTGGAATAAGATCGTCATGAAAGAGATAAATGGTGTTGACTGATTTTTGAACATTGGCTTTGGTTTGTGGATTTGCTTGAACATAGTCAATGTTGACAGCACTACTCAAGTTGGCATAGACAATGTTAAAATATCGTTTTCGAGGATCATCTTTGGTTAATTGTTGATTCAAACTTGCAATCATTGTGTCAATGAGTGACATGTCAATTCCACTATTTGCCACTAAAACACTTTGATTGGAGCATTTGGAAAAGATCTGAACGAGAGACGAGATTTGTTTCACAAGATCAGAATTTCCAGTATTATTGGAGTATTGACCTTGTAAATAACGATCTGCTGTGGCACACATGTCTTGTGTGACAACTGCAAATGCAAAATGTAAAGTGTACAGAATCCAGCAACACACAAGCATCATGTAACCAAATCTTACACCATACGCAGCAAATTCTTTCCAATGAGTCAATCCACTCAATAATCCCAATAAAGGAACAAATAAAATCACCAATGCGATGAGCATCAATAAAAAGTATCGAATGAAATTCATGTGACGAATTTCTTTGGTTAGAGTACTAGTTGCATTCATACTCGCTTGTTGCTGAGCCATTAATGAGCTAATATCTGTCAATTGAGCATTAGAACCAGAGGCTACTTGAATTCGATTTGTCACAATTTGCAATTCAATCGATTGATTAAACATGGTGTTGAGTCCAGATTTAAAATTCGAACGACCATATTCGAATGCATTATTAAAGATAACATTTCCAATAATTAACAAGACCACAAGTCCAGTCACCACAAGAAGCGCCACACCAATCAGAATTTTTAGTGTGAACACTTGACACATGCCATAAGGTTCTTTTCTTGGTTCTCGTCCGTAGAAGAATTGTTTGGTTGGTTCAACACCTCCGAAACATCCAAATGCACGGAATGTATCGCAACAGAGTAACATTAAAATTGCAATAATGCTCAAAATACCTCCTCCCAATGCCAATGTACCAATTCCTTGCCAACTGTTCACCAAAATGTTGAAAAGTTTTCCAAGTTGTCAATCAATGAAATACAACATGTCAATGAATGTCAATGTAATGTTATTTGTCCACATGATGCATGATTATCAAATCGTAATCGATGCACAAATGTTAAATCAAAAATCAAACACTCCAACAACATAGAGTATTATTCATACTTACTAGTCCGAACTCTCAGGATCAAATGTATCTGGAGCTATGGTACCATGAAAAGTCATTCTCACCAAATTCATCTTCAACGATGCAATTTGTTTACTAATACTGTAAAATGGATTGTAAGTTTCAGAGCTTGGATTGGCTCGGGAATCATTCGATGCAGCAACATTCATGAGAGAGAGGAAACGTGATTGATAGAGTGTAGTGGAAGAAGAGTCGTGAATCGGGTTGCGTTCGGAATTTTCGAGGGGAAAGGAGGACCTGCCAATTGTCAAAGGTCCTTGAGCTTGAACAAAGAAGAAATAATTTAATGGAGTAGTACTATCAGCTGTTGATAATAATGTTGAAGAAGACCATGATGATGATGGTGATGTATTATGTACTGCACCACTTTGATGGTTTCCAAAAAAGGAAAACCATGAGGTGCGGATGACCAACAACAATAACAACGATAAAGACAAGAATATTCTCAATAACGATGTCTTTGAAATCAATGAGCTTTTCCTTATCGTTGTCGTTTTCATACTAATCCTTGTTTTTGAATCAAAGTCTTCAAGTTTTTCTTCAAGGTGATGAAAATCATGATGCGAATCTTGATGATTCCAACAACAAGTTGTATTCGTCGTCATGATGGAAATGTAATGATCCATTAATGATGATGATGATGAATGAGAGTGATGATTCAATGAAGAAGCCTTTGGGTGTGTCGTGAGTGAAGAACGCCAAGAAGAACACTGCGCCGAATCATTATCAGTGTGTGGACATGACGAAGACATTCTTTTTGTTGTAATTTTCAGAGAGATGACGTGAGACAAATGAGCAAGGAAGTAGAAGGCGATGAATTAAAAAAGAGCATGAACGGTCAAGCAAGAACTCGAGAGAGTTCGAACACACAATGAATGAATAAATACTTGGATTTCGAGAGTTTTGGTTATCGTGCGACGACGTTTGAATTCAGTAGAGAGGTCACTTTGTGTGGAAATATAGAGCACAACAAGACACCAATGTTCATGTGGTTGGATTAGTATTGTTAGGTGGAAGGATGTTTGAGTTTTTGAAGAGCAGTTACAGAGCTAGCACTCGACTGTTAGTGTGTCATCCTCTTTAAGAGCGAATTCTTGGGTGACTTTTCCAACAGATGGAGAAATACACAGAAACAAATGTTGTATTCATTGAACTTGTTTTTTATTATTAACCTACAAGAGGTTGTTTGTAATACTACTTGTGAGTGTGTGGATCCAACTCAAAAGTCCTTATGAGTTGTAAGTTATTTGATTGTGTGTTTGAATATTACATGGTAAGAGATAATACAAATACATATAATTGTTGTTGTTTTGGTACAGGTTGAAAGAGTTCTATGAATTTAAAAGATGAAGGCCAACAAAGCCAACAAACAGAAAACCATCAATCCGACAATTCCACCATTCATCACGGAAGAGGCTCCACCAACCATTTCGGAAGGATAATATTGAGCAGAGGTTTGTTGAGTACCAAAGAACATGATCATACAGACCATCATGGCAACGAGAGCAATCAAGGTTTGAGCGTTCATTTTGTATATTCTGTTGTGGTGGTAGTGGTTTTTGAATGAAAGAAGAGTAGAGCAATAGTGAATTACAACAGTTGAGGTTGTTGTTGTCGTTGATATTGTTGTTGTTTTGTTGTTTTTTGTTGTTGTTGAAGAAACGTTAATGGAGGAGAAGGCTGTTCAATTTATATTCTCACTCAATCGGTCTCTCGGGGTGTGTTCAATGCTCCTCCTCTATCGAAAGATGTTATTTCTACATCTCTCTATATTTTAGTGTTGAGGTATCCTTCCAAGAACAACGACCCCTCAATGTGTATTTCCATTCGTTGCCAAAGGTTCCTTTTTTTGAAAGCCTGTTACTGTACTGGGAACTTGCGAATGAAAATGAAGCGCAAAAGTATATTCAAAGCTATAAACAACTCGAAGAAGGTTGGAGTTTTCTTCTTTCTTTCGAAAATACTACCGCTCCCAGAGATAGAGATGAATAGACAGCAACAGAGAGCCCCATGAATTTCCCAAATGGTGGATGGAATTTATGAATCATCTATTGACTTCAAAAGGTTGTCATTTGTTTTTGCCATATTCAACTGCAGGTTGATTTTTCAAGCCAAAAGATGCTTGGAATGGGTGTTATATTTGCGTTTTAATATTCACAACCTTCCAAAGAGTTCGGTATCAAAAGTAGCCAAAAAGAGGGAGTTAAATATAAGAATTAAAGAGACTTTTACAAAAAATTTACGGTATGACAACCGTAAACGTTTACAGTAAACCTTACAAAGATGAGAGGAGATAATATTGATTCAGAAGTGCGACCATAACGATCGAAGAATTTCATTATTAATTAAATCGAGATGAGAGAGAAAAGTGACTTGTCCAGCAGGCTTCTTCCATTGAACACTACTTCTCAAAATTAACCTCCTTTTCAACCACCTCTGAAAAATGTTCACGAATTATTTTCAATGACCTTTCCTCTCAAGAGTGTCTCAATTCGACTTTGAAAAACTAAACTCCTCACTACGCACCTGCTGTTGTTGTTGTTGATTGTTAATTTGGAATTTCCATAAGCCACTCTTGTCATGACTGAGTCGGAACGAGAGGATTCTTTTCGAGCATTGCTTTCAAAAAAACTCAAACCTCCACTTGTTGCAATTGTCAATCATCAACCATCATCACCACCACCATTAGGATGAATCCATCCACTGCCACTTCCGATAGGATTACTACTCATAGTAGCAGTGATTGTGGTGGCTCCAATGTTTCAAAGATTCATCCACAAACGGCGGTTCTTGTTTCAACAAGTAGTACCACCTATCATAGGGAGGGCCACACAATTTTCAAGAAGGACGTTTTCAACAACAGTTCTTTTGGAGAGGCCACTTGTGGTTGTTTTGGTTGTCATACTGAACATTCACCAATCGATCGGAAAGAAGAAAATGAAAAGCAACTATCATCATTACCAATTTCAGAACAAGTAACAAGACACATTTCAACTCATTCAACAACAACAACTGCAACCACTCATTCAACAACATTAATCACAGCTCCACCAATGACCGAAAAAGGAAAGGAATTTTGTTTGATGTTAATCGATCGATTATTGGAAGAATCTGATTTAAAAATTAAATCATTACATTCTAAAGGTGGTGTTGGACATTTAAATGAAGATGCATCTTGTCAATCTAATATTAAATTTAAATCATTACATTCTAAAGGTGGTGAAGATGCATCCTGTCAATCTAATATTCAGGATCCTCTTAACAATATTTCTCGGTGCTGCTGTTGTTGTGACAACAAGGAATCAATATCGAATCAATGGATGTCAACCATTACAAGAGAACATTGGCCTCAATACATCACAATTTGTGGAATTGGAAGTTTAATGTCAGAAAAATCAGCAAAACGAACATTTCCAGAATTACACAATTTTCGAAAAGTGATTGTTAAGGGCCATCTTCGAACCTTTAATCTAGTTGCCATTTCGAGTTTACCTTTTGGAGATTTGGAAAAGAGAAAAGTGGCCTCCGTGGCTGCAGCTTCATACGATGAAGTGGATGACAAAGTTTGTCAGAAAATCATTGAAAGACAACAAAAGCATTATGAGAAAATTGGAAATTTGAAAAAACGACAACAAATTCAACGAGCGCAAGACATTGAAATGTATTGCACTGCATTTGAAGTTCCACTCTCTGAGGAGATTTGGTATGCATTCATGACCAGAGAACATCGATATCGACTGAAATTTGTGACACTCGATCAAGAATTTAAGAATAACACGTTTGTGACAAGTTGTTACTGTGCAAGGGGTACCTGTGGCATTTTCACCGATAAAGACCATTCATGTGGGTGCTGCAATTGTTCTGTGACCTTTCAAAATCAACTCGTATCTTGTGGATGCAAAGCATTGATGTGCTGTCAATACAATGATGATCTTTACAAAACTGAGAGATGTGTGACCTATGAAAATGAATATCACGAAAGAGTGGCTCGTCATTATAGTGGAAGAATATGGTACCATACCAAGGACGTGTATTTGGAACGACAAGAATGCACTACTACTTGCCCAACTATAATCAATGAAACTTCTGTCACAAGTCACTCCAAACCAAACATGGAAATTCCAATCAAACCCATCTCAAAATACCTTGATTTATGTCTCAATGCGGCATTAGAATTAGGACCAGACGTGTTACAAAATTTCATGTATACCAGTATTCTCGCGGATGGTCAAACATTGATGGAAGATTATGTGAAAACTGAAGAACCAGAACTTTACGAAAAGTATTCAAAATATTATTATTATATGTAAAAGTTCCAAATTTCAAATGGAACATCTCCAAAACAACCATGGTATTGACTACATTTTCAAGAATTTAAATGCTGTCACTCATCATATTCTCTTCAATTCTGCATCTCGTTAATTGAGACGAACGATCGAGAAGTGGTTTTGAATGCCGTAAGAAACTACAGTCCTTTTCTGGAGTATGCAGGTCAAAGGATGAAATGACATGATCAACAAATTGGAATCGATCAAACATGGAGGTTTGAATTTCAAAGTATACTTCCCAAGATCTTTAAATTGACAATTCATTCTTATTATTGAAGCTGTAAAATATAGACCACGTGTCTTTCTCTTTAATGTACCTAAAGAAATTGCGATGGATGACAAAGAATTTGTCAAGATGACAAGTAATGAAACAGTCCAACTTTCCAAATTATCCTCTCATTCATGGTGCCTCATGAATTTCAAAACTGAACCTTCTTAATTTCCAAATATAGTCACAAAGAAATAATTAAAATTTAAAAAAAAAAAATGAATCACACACAAGCAACTGTGGAAGAAGAATTATTTCAGAATTTGTGTGCCTTGTTTCCTCATCTTGAAACAGAGCTCATTGAATCCGTGATGGAACAGTGCAGTAATGAGGAAGAGGCATGTATTGAATTGTTAGTGGATATTACTGCTGATGATGAGGAAGAAGAAACTTTGGTTGAACACATGATTCATACTGTTGTACCACATGTACTTTCTGGAAGTAGTACATTGGTACCTCTAAATCATTCCCAAGTGAATGATGATGATGATCATTATCGGAATGAAGATGGTTTTGAAAATCATGAGGAAGAAGAGGTGATTGATGAGAAGGAAAGAGGAGTTGAATTTAAAAACGAGAATGAATCATCTTCGTATCAAAGAAGGATCTCTAAATCAGGAAGAGCAAAAAAATTATTTACCATTTTGAGAGGTCATGAAATTTTGGATGAGATGGAAAGGGAGTTGTCTGTGGTGAGCACTATTTTACCTGTGCAAACAAAGTATCAGACAGATGCTATTTTAAAAGTATGTTTCAGAAATGGTCCAACTTGATTTTTAATTTTATTCTATTTATTGATGATCTACCATATATTTTGGAATCATCTATCCATCGATGAATTGAATGGACAATCCTAATGACCTAGATCTACAAATGGAATACAGAAAAATTAATTCAAGATTATGGTGAGCTTGGAATTGATGGAATTCTTTCTAAATGCGGACTATTAGTCAACAAATCAGAAGATGACACTCAAGACCATCATGTATCTTGTTGTGACTCTTGCTTTAGCGAAAATGTGACACTTATAAAGAATGACATTTGTGGTCACGAATTTTGTGAAGACTGCTGGAGAAGTTATGTGGAAGCCAGTATTTCACAAGGTCTTCTTAATGGTAACAAGATTAATTGTATGGCTTTTGGATGCAATGCAACCATCACTGAAGAATTCATGATGTCATTTGTCAGTGATAAGTTTAACGAAATGTTTTTGAAAACAAAAATCGATTTATTTGTTGCCAATAATCACAGATTGCGATGGTGTGTGACTCCAAACTGTGAAGGCTGTATTAAGAAGCTCTGCGACGAGAATCTGTATTATGTTCATTGTGATTGTGATGCTGAATTTTGTTTTCATTGTGGAGAAGAACCTCATTTTCCAGGTTTGTACTTTTACAAAATATTATCTTTAACCTTAATTAACATTATTATTCACCTTTTTGTTACTATAATAATTGTTATATGCTTAATCGTATGATCGCAATAATAATATCAATATTGTTGAACTTTTGTAAATTTATTGTGTAGCTTCTTGTTCCATGTTCCAGAAATTCCGCCAAATTGGACAAGATGTTTCACGAAATGTGGAATTCATTAAGAACACGAGTACTCAATGTCCAGGATGTAAAGTTTTTATTACCAAACATCAAGGATGGTAAGTTGATGATGATCTTTCCACTCATTTTCTTTTCAATAATAATATTCAACTTTTTGTAACTTTTCTTCAAATACTAATCTCTGCAGTGATCAAATGACGTAAGTGGAATGACCAAATGAATGAAATATTCAAATGTTCTCAAATCCTTTGTGATTAAACTTTTCTCTATCCAACAGATGTGCTCTCTGTCACACACGATTTTGTTATTCATGTGGTAAACAACATGGCTATGGAGTGATGTGTAGTGGCATCAAAGAACGAGGTAATTCAAAATATAACGATGAAGATTATTATATCGAGGAGATTCATACTCGATATCAATACAAATACAATCTCTACAAGCAATGGCTGATAGAACAGCAATCAAGCCAATACCTTTATAATTTGATTGTTTCAAGTCGATCGACAGCAACCTCACGATTTGGATATTGTGACAGCGATTTTAAATTTATGTTTGCAATGCTGTCCATGATTATCCGAACGCGACGATTGTTGAAGTCTTGTTCAGTATTTGCATTCTTTGCCTTTGGTTTGGATGTGTTTTTGAAAGAACATTCATTGACGAAAAAAGTTGATAAATCTCTCAAGCGAAATGTTGGAGAAAAGAAGAAGACTGAAAAAGCGAAACAAGTAATTCGCCACGATCTTCAAAACCTCAAGACTTATGGCTTCTTGTTTGATAGTCATTATGAGAGCTTGGAAAAATATGTGCAAGAATTATTGGGACATTTGCATGATTTTGTCGCCAAGGGCTTTGACGAAGCGAAACATATGTCGTTTGCTGGGTTTAAAATTCAGACAAACAAACTCACGGAGGTGGTCACAAAACAAACTGAGAATTTGCTCGAGACCATTAAACGAATGGAAATGAACGACCTTAAACAGCAGTAAAATGTCTTCTTGCCTTAACTCAAAATATTTATTTCAACTCAAGATCAAACTCACCTTATCACACAGTTTGTCTAACGTTTTGAAACATTTGTTCAATTTCAACTGAGCAATGAATGAAGGGCTTTTCCCAGAACTTGTAAATACTATTCTTAACAAGATCAATGAAAGTAATTAACAAACCCCAAGGATGTGGTCTACTGACAATTAATCTCTCAATAAGCACACGAGTAATTTGTTCCTGGATAATCTGTTCCTCACAGAAAAAGTTCAATAATACACAACTAAAGTAGTAGGTATGAATGTTTGGATATCTCAACTGATTAACCATTGCATTCAACACCAAATAACGACCTTCAAAGTCTAACTGGTGGAGCATTCTACGCAGAACTTCAGTTGCAAAGGAGTGCATACATTGTGATCGAGGATGTCTAGTTGTGCTTAATACTCCAACATGCAAAACGATTGAATTAATCAATGGAACGTTATAAGATGTTCCTCTCTCAGAAATTTCCTCTTGTGAGGTCAACTTAACCTTATTGACAATTTGATCTAAAAGAGAAATATCAGAATTAATAGAATACTTGTCAACTAATGATTCAAACAACTCCAACGGTAATTCTTTGGTAAAGTGTTTCGCATAGTCGCTCAAGATGGTTGGTTGTTCATTGATTTCAGGCAACTTTTCTATACTGACATCTTTAGCGAATGGATCAGGAAGTTTCATATGCCTTGGGAAGGCTGATAGAATGAGATTTCGCATTTGTATGCAAGTATTTGGAATAACATTGCATAATGAGACATGATAATCGCAAAGGAATTCTGGAAAGTCATGAAGAAGGATCAATAAAATCTTTAGAGCTGCCTTGTAGACAAGTTTGACTGGATTATTCAGCTGTCCGGCCTGCAAATATGGTTCCAAAAAATTAAACATTTCAACAATGAGATCATGGAACAAAGGTAAGCCCTTCTTGCAGCTTGGAGCAAGTATCTTTGGCATAAAGAAGCGATGAGAAATCAGTTCTAGCCAAGCAAAAACAAATGCTGGATTCTTGCTTGGTTTCAATACAAGCAACGCTTGCGCAAAGATACACAAAATTTCGGAATGAACCTCCAAATGCTTGTCATAGTTTTGGTGGAAATATTCTGCTCTGAATGAAGGTCCCATATAATAAGAAGGAGGAGGCAAATAGCTTCCAGCTTGAACGATCATACCTGACAGTAATCTTAAATAGATTCTCTGATTAAACTTGGTTTGTTGAAGTTCCATATCCTTCATGATTAATTGAATGATCAGATCAAGAACAATCTTAAATCTTGTAAGAGCCTTTGAGAAAAATTCAGGATCTATTTCATAGTGTTCACTTTGCTCAAAAATGAGTTTTCCAAGAAAATCACAAAGGCCATCAGCAAATTTAAATGTCTCTGGATAGGGCAAATTGACTCCAAATTTGTAGAAATGTTCTACAGCAGTTTCAATGTAAGGTCTAATGGTGTCTTCAAAAGATGCCACTTTTTTGTCAAACATATCGTTGAAATCCATGGCGATCATCTGTTTGTTTTCATTGGCCGTTTTGAATAGAGAAGCCCAAGTGTAGGATACATGGGTACGATCGTAATATGGAGTTGGGGTGTAAGGCATTTCAGATATGGAGAGATAGGTGACAAACTTCTTCAAATGTTGGTCTCTCACTGCATATTTTTCTGGAGTTTCAAAATCAGAAGCAACATTGAACAAAATGGTCAATGGATTGTCGTACAGATTGCTTGTTGCTTTTGCAGCTTGCTCTATAATGGAAGCATAGGTCATATAATCTGGATACTTTGACAAGTTTGATTGAACAAAGCTGAAGGACTTTGGAAGGTCTGCAACAGTGAGAGTACTCTTCAAAATAACCAATCTCTGAATCAGGCGCAAATAGAAAGGTATTGCGTTCTTGCTGTGGTTCAAATCAGCAACTAGAGCTAAAAGTTCATTGTCAAGAGTAACGAGATCTAATAAATCTACTCTGATTAGTGAAAGAGTAGCATTGTCGAGTTTTTGATTTGGAGCTAAAGCTTTCCAAAGATTAGTAACCTGAATCATGGATGATTCGCTTTCCATTTCTCGCAAAACGGAAAGAACCATAATACAAGCTTCCCTGATAATGTTGGTATCAGTTTCGTAAAGTTTGTAGAAAACATCCATGCAAAGAGACTCAGCAGTTTCTCCACCTTGAACCGATCTTCGAAGAATAGATCGAATCTTGTTTAAGCTGTCATAGAACCGGCTCTGGACAGGGACATAAGAAATGTTAGGTAGTTGTGTTTTAACCTGATGGATATACTCCATCATATTGGCGAATGCGAGCTTGGCTTGATCCACAGCGACATTAAATGGCAGCATGTCTTCTCTTGGTTCAAATAGAGTCTTTCTTTCAAAGTCTTCGTAAACTTGGATGTGACTTCTATGTAGGCCGCCTTTTGGAGCTAAAACCTCTGGTAATCTTTGAACAAAGGCTGGCATCGTATAGTTGGTGTAATTCATAACGGCGCCATTTGCATAGCTTTTTCTCAACTCAAGTTCGGATTGAAGAGCTTCTGCAATGTCCAGCATACCCTTATCTCGGGCTGCTTGGCCAACATATGCACAACCAACATTAACATTATCCGCACTAACATTTGTTACGATCTGTTCAATGACTGTCTTCACCTTTGGATCGCTTGGATTGATGGAAGCAGCCTCAAATAATGTTCTGAGGTGAGTTTGGAGATTATTCTTTAGAATGTCCTTGCAAGAAAAAGCAGCAAGTTTCGATGCAAGATTAGCAACCATCAAGTTAGCTGCTCGGTGCATTTTGTTGTAATCTGGCTCTGCAATAAAGTCCTTAATGATTGTTTCTGTAGTTGTACGGCAAGCAATGGTAACAGCTCGTTTCACAAACGGAGCTATAATTTCACGAATAGTTTGGTCAAGAGCAACTACAACAAGCTTTCTCAATTCTGGTTGTTCTTTGAAAATTGACAAATTTTCAGCAATTTTCACCTGATCTTGAAGATCGGTAATAATAATTCCAGTGTCGGTCACTTGTGAAATGTTGAACAACTTTTCTGATCGGCCAGGTGCAATTGGTGCGAGTGGCTCAACTGCAGTGGTTGGCCCATGAATATCTGGGTTGTTATATTTGAGTTGCGTTCTTCCTTGAAGCAGTGGGGCATAATCTTCTTTTTCCTTGTTTTGTTGCTCAACTTGAGAAATGGTAAGTTTTAAAGTTTTACACAACATTTCAACCTCAAACTTCAAGTTCAATTTCAACTCTGGAATTGCATGAATCTCAACCAAAAGAGATACAATACCCATAACCCATGGATTTGGAGGGGTAAACACCTTTGATTTGGCACAATGATTCAAAATTTTACAAACAAATGGAATGACCACAATGAGTCTTCCTCTTTCAAAGGCATCAAATAAAAGAGACTTCAAATCAAGGTCCTTATGAAGAACGGGCTTGTTCTTTGCCAAAGTTTGTAATCCTAGCCAGCTTCCCAAGTTCTTAAGAAGAGATCTTTCTGAAAGACTAGTGGTAATTCTCTCAGAGTGAAGCAACGCGTTGATAGCAATGTATGTCTGCTTTAAAACTTGCTTGTCGAGTTCTTCCAACTTCAAAGTGCTCAACATTTTTGCATAAACTAAATGGAAGTTGGGCTCCAAGCTAGCTCTGTTCACTACAAGATATCTTGCAACATATGGATACCAGTTTGGGGTCAGTACAATTTTCAGCTCGTTGCATTTCTCGTTGAGGTTAATTTGAGAGACATTGTTAATTGCAAAGATCATCTTCTCTGCCAACTCTGGTTCTGGGGCTTCAATTTCTTGTGTCGTGACGTTTTTGGTCAGAGTGCTAATATCCAACTGGAAGCCAATTCCAGGAGAGGCCTTCTCTTCGTCTTTTTTGGTTTTCGTTGGTGTTTGTGGATCAGCTGATGGTGTTAAGGCAGCTGATGGAGGAACTTGCGGGGTTGGAGATGTGGAAATTTGTGGAGGAGGAGTTGTACTAATGGAGGGTTGGAAAGCATTGGTGCCAAATTGTTGTTGCATTACATTTGGCTGAGGAGAGATGGATGTTGGAGGGGAAGAAATGCCAGTATTCTGAATGCCAGGCACTCCATATTGTTCGCTTGGTATTTGAGTCTCAATCAAGCTAAGGCTTTTAGCTACATATTGAGCAAGGTCTGGAATGTGTTGGAAGGCTTGTGGAATCTTTGTACGTAGATGAGCACAAAATTGTGGCCACTCAGAAACTCTTGTTTTGAATTGTGACAAGGCAATCAGACCAAATTGGAAAAGTTTGATATCAGGACTTGAAAGAGCTTGTAAAACGCAAATTAAGCCATACTTCAATGTTTTGGCAACAATAACATTATGTTGAATAATAAGTCCAAAGAGTTTGGCCATTACTCTTAATGAATTTTCAGGATATTGACTGAAGAATCGATACTCATCAAATAGATTATGAATCACACAGGCAAACATTTCTTGGTCGGCTCTAGTCTTTGAAAGCTTCATTTCCTTGAGTTTCTCAACACCAACTTCTACAGTAATTTCTCCATGGAACATGGAAAGGAAAAACTGATTAGTTTTGGTTTCAATCTCTGGAGAAAGTTGGAACTCGGTTGTTGCGATTTCACGTTTGAGATTCTCATCCAAAGCTTGATACAATTGATAGGCTTGCTCGAAAATTTCTGCAACTATCAAGTTTCTAGCCTTGTCGAGGCACTTGAAGAAGGTCTTTGCAATGTCCGAAGTGAAGGTTGCTTGTTGTTGAGAATTCTTGTCCTTGAGAGTTGGAATGGCATCTGTCAAATAGTTGATGACTTCCTGGACAAATTCATTGCCATGACGTTCCATGTTGTTGAGAAGCCATAATTCCAAGTTGAGATGGTCTCTCTTCGATGCCAAAATTGCAATTTCAATGGCGAAACGGAATGGTCTTGAATCCAGAATGGCATCAAGTATCTTCAATTCTTGAGCGATATCTAAAATCCTTCTGAGTTGTGTAGGATCTTTTCGGTATGTTTCCGAGAGAGTTGAAATGAGTAATGGTTGATTCACTTCAGAGAATTTGTGGAGCACAGAGAAAGAATTCTTATGAGGCTTGACAAAGATGGGTACAATTTGGGAAACAATTTCCTGGCGAAGTAAAATGTTGATTGGATTGCATTGAGCAAGAGCTAACAAGAATTGTTCTGGACACTGTCTCATTGGAGCTTCAAATAATCTCTTGATGGCATTCATATTCTCAATGTCTGCCAAATTTAACAAGGTTTCCACTAAATCTATTGTTCCCCAAGTTGTGTTTTGGTTTTTGTGAGAAGGTAGGAAGGAAATGTCGACATGACGAAGCTTATCTGACGAAAAGTCAATGATGTCAGGTGGAGCGTCCAAAGCGAGAAGAATGAATGAAAGTTGAGCATCATTGTTGCTCCACTTTCGGCAAACGAAAACATCCAGTGGTAATTTCTCTCCTGTAATCTTTTTGTAAATAGTAACAATCATTGCAAGGCCTTTTTGATCCTTTAACTTAAATCCAGTATGGTCCAAACATGCGACGACTTGTTTCCAGTTGAGGTCTTTTTGTTTCATTACGGTTACGAAGTTATCGAGATTCCATGATGATGCGTTTTCTTTGATTTCTACTTTTGAAGAGCCTATGGATTGAAGGAAGGAAACAATAGAGCCATGATCAGCTCGAGTTTGTAGTCCGGTGTGATTCATGGCCATCATACCTATTAATTCTCCAACTGTTCGCTCATTCATATTGGAACATGTTTCCACCACTCTACTGAAAGCGTCCACTGTGGACATGATGGTGTAACCCAAATCTTTAACGAGAGCACTCAAATTTGAGTCCGAGAATTCAGAGTTTTTATATTGTTGTTGTTGTTGTTGTTGTTGTTGTTGTTGTTGTATAATTTCGCTCCTTTTTTGTACCATTTTTGTTGTTGTATTAGGATAGAGTTGAAGATAATAATGAGAGGCGTCAGACAGGACGAGGATGATGATTCAATCGTGAAGGTGATAACAGGATGGTTGGTGATAGGACAGGATGGTGTGATGGCGGTAGTTGTAGCACAAGGATTTTTTTTAAAATTTTTTTTCAAAAAATAAGAAACACTTACCTTGCCGAATTCACTGCTGGCAAGACGTTTCCGAGAAGATGAAGGGAAGAGATTGAACCCGTTGTGCTGCTGCTGATACCACTCGTCATGAGTATCGATGATGATGATGATGAACCATTATGGTTGCCATGAGAGGGTAGAAGTAGAGGAAGAAGACTTACTGGAGGTTGTGGATGCATTTGATGAGAAGGATGATTGTCATGATGATG